ACTCGACCATTTGGTGGGCTATCATTTTACGTTATTTGCGCCGTTTTAATTATTTTATTTAATTATTTTAACGAGGCTAGGCCTCGGTTCCTCCGGCACTTGCAAAATAATTTGGCAAAATATGGGTTAACCGCCTTAATTAATTGGATTAATTAAGTTGGATGCGGAATTTAGTGGGAGCTTCATTAATTACTTTAGCTAATTTATTGCGTCTTAATCACATAATATGATTAACAACTTTGACTAGTTTTAATTAGGCGCGTTAATCAGATTAACCACCTTTTAAGCATATTATGCATTGTTACTTGTTTTTTCGTTGTAAAATGCGTGGGCCATTCACATATAGTTTATGGATGAATGGAGTGTATACTCTATCACAGGTTTTGAGAAAATGACAGCTAGTGGGGCTCGATTAGGATAGTAAATACGGACTGTGATCCATTATGTATTTTTGTAAATCTAAATAAGGTCTGTGTACCGTTCCGTATTTTTGTACCTTAATATTTAGATTAATCCTAGTCATAGTAACTAGTAGTTGCATAATTAGTGGAGATGTCTCGAAGACGGCGTTTCTAAGAAGACAAGCGAAGAGGATGCATCGGAGACCCTTGAAGACTTGAAAACTCAAGGGGTCATGCTTATATATGTGAATGATATGTTAGATGCATGTCTAGGACTTCAGATGTTGCGATGATTAATTAAGTTCACTTAAATCAACCAACATAGAAACCCTAGGTCCCTATAATATTGAGCCAAAATTTTCATTCCAAGAACAACACTTACCGAACTAATGCACGTGGTGATGGGCTACACCAAAGCGAGGCATCACTACTTCTCTAAGAATGTAAGGTATACTAGGTATACAAGTTGGTCTTGGTTAAGTTCAACGATATCAGTAAGGAGTCCTTAGATGTCGTGGCAATGGAGATAAAATGTCAAGGAAGCATTAGATGCAACGTTTTATCGAACCAAGAGTAGCTTAGAGCTATTAGCAATTGGATTGATTACCTTAAAATATTGAGTGTTAAGACAAGCCAAAGTGTGCTTAATCACTTTCTGATTTTTGGGATCTTGGAATCGTTTTATTCTCGCCTACAAGGAAAAATTTTAATTCGTTGATAAGACGCGTAATAAGATTGAAAATTTGCATGTACGCTTTAAATTTCAAACTTATTATGTATCTTGATAAATGGTTACACTTTGCACTTATATTTGTAAAATATCTAAATCAAATTATATTGTTTTCAATGATTGGTACAGGAAATCTTTGAGGATGGTTCTCAAAGAAAGGAAAGGCATTTCTAAAATACAACTTCTCATAATTGACTTTTATGACTTAAGTCCGAAAGGACGATTGGATATCATGTATTCAAAATACTAGGTAGCTTTGATGAACATGAAGTATTGAGTTGAAAAACTCAAATTGTCGATAGTTGGCAACCAACATATCTTTTCGTTTCATACACTAATGAGTAGGACTCATTAATGTAGTAATTCAAGTATGAATTAAGAAAAAGATAGAACTTTGTTTTACGGCGCATTAGATGCGTAAATATGCTTAACAAAGTTTAAAAGTCAAGGCACTCAAAGAAATGGTTCTTAAAGTTATGAGATGATGTATAATAAGAAATATAGGAAACAAGGAACAAAGGAAAGGAATAAGATTCCTTTTCTACCCATGAGTTCATGTTATTGTAGTTAACGTAGTAACTCGTTGTCTTCACAAGTATTGGATACTGCTTGTGTGTTCCACTTTGAAAGTGACCTCAAACCATTGAAGTTAAGCTAAGTTATTGACTTACAAGCTTAGAATGAAGCAAGTAGTACTACATCAGTTGTAAGGTCATTTGTTTTGTTTAAATACCTTTTAAGCTAAGGCTTAAACAAATAATCATTATTGTGTTCCATAATCAGCAAACGATCTGTTCACACACGGAAAGACTCACATTAAAAGTAAAAGAGCAATAGTTACGGGTTTTATTTGAATGGCATGGTTGTCTAAGCCAAGAGTCAAGGATGCTTGATTATAAACAAACATTTCCCTAACATGAAAACTCACAAGGTTCAAGTCATAGACATAATTTGTGTTCCAAAAATCTTTAGCAATGTCACATCGACAAGAACATACTCAAGGCTCTGTTAGATAAACTCTTACTTGTGGGAGATTGAAAGGAATGGTGTCCTTCCAATAAGTGTATTATTCCAATAGAGGGTTCGAAATTACTAGAAAGCTAATTCTTCAATGAGGTCAAGTGATCGGAATGTCTAGGTGGAGGCCACTTGCGATCAGTAATATGAATGCATAATTAATGTTACGACTTAATCTTGACTGAACCCTTTGGGTCACACCCCAATCGAGTAACCGATCCGAGGCGACGAATCAATCCGAAGGATTAGATAAGTCAGTAGAGTATTACAAACAAAGACGTCGGATATCGAGCTTAGAGCGTCGAATCCAAGCGTCGTAAGTCGAGTTAAATTTAGAATTCGACGAGACAAGGAATCAAGCAAATGACAAGTTTAAACTAAGCCGTAGCTTCGCATTAGCCTAGCCATGCAAAGGCTAGGCTAGCATAGGGCACCAACCGCATACATGGTTGTGCCGCAAGCCAAGCATGCATATGCGTGCTAGGCTTGTTGGCTGAGCATGCTTGCGGGGCTGTTGCGCCTAATCGCATGCTAGCTAGCACCAACACGCATGGCTGGGCTAGTAGGGGCGTAGCAGCAGGTGCATTAAGGGCCGCGAGGACGTAGCAAGCATGTTAGGCCATGCGAGCAGCAATGCCACATAGCACAAGGCCCAGCATGCAAGTTGGTAAGTTCGTGTCCTGGCTGTGCCGCACAGCAGGGCTGGCAGCCAGCCAAGCCTTGTGCCAATGCCCATCATGCGCGTATGCTGTAGGTTGTGCAAGCTGAGCAACGCATAGCACAAGCAGTAGCTAACTGGCAAAAGCTAGCAATGCCACCACAACGTGTGTGTGTACCGCACAGCGAGGCTGGCAACCAGCCACACCATGTGCGTGAGCCAGCGTCATCGTGTAGCACATGTGTGCGTGGCTGATCTTGCATGTGGTTGGATATGCATGTGAGAGGCATGTGAGTGTGGGTTTGCTTGGGGAGCAAGGGGAGAATGGTCCCCCCTTGTGGTCATCACCTAACCCCTTGCTCACCTCTTGACACTTGTTATTTGTTGAGTTACTTGTATTTCAATTTGATTTTTGAATTAAAAATAAATTGGATAAAATGCATTTTACCGACTCTCCCACATGGATAGGAGATTGAAGTTCAAGAGATGCCTTCCCTATAAATACCAATTATTTGGAATTGGGAAGGGACACTTGAGTTGAACTCAATAAGGAATCTCCCTATAGGTGAGAAAACATTTAAGTTCGTAATACTCTAGTATTTTCATGGTCTAGCCCCGACTAACCTTCGGGGTAGGGACCGTCCGGGTTGGATCTCGAGGGTGGACTTCGTCGGAGGCTAACGGACTTGCGGAGCTAAGGCTTTGAAGTCCGAGTTCTATAGGAGCGAAGCATGCGTCGAGGGTATGATCGTCTTTCTCTCTCTCTCTCTCTCTTAGTTAATTAATTATGTGATTATTAATATGCATGTTTAGTTACTTTAATTTGTGTGCGGGCCTTGGGCGGGTTTCATTCCGCGTAGTGTCAGACAATACGAAACCCAACATGGAGTTAGCGATCTCTGTGATCGTGAATGGGGTGTAACCTTCACACCCGTGAACGGTTTACAAGTTCCTAAAACTTTTTGGCGACTCGTTATCTCTAGCTTCTTTTCCTTGGAACGTCGCCTTGCCGTAAAGCATGAACCATAGTAGAGCTCAACGATGAGTAAAAAAAATTCCCTACAATACCCGAGCCAAAACAACCTTCTGTTGCAAAACTTACCAAGGTAAAAGATGTCTAGGATGGTGATGAACAAGGGCAGATTGACACTATATCCATTTCAACTCCCGAATCATTGCCTGAATCAACACAACCTCCTGTGACGATTCAAGATCAGGAAGTGGAGATCTATGATGATACTGCATCAAGAACCAGTGGGTCTATTCTAGAAATGGTTCACGATGACACCACAAATTTTTAGACTAAGGGTGCTGAGCCTCAGATTGATACTAAAAAATCAAATCTTCGTGAAGTGACTTTTGCAGAAAAATGTTTATCTCCAGATTTAGGTGAGTAACACATTTCTTTCTTTCATATCTCTTTATTGGTATCTAACATGCCTGTTATTTCCATTATTAACAATCATTGACCAAGGAAATCAAGGCAACAAAGCTTCAACCATATATGTGTCAGGTGAAAGAAAGCATCCTAACCTTATACAATTGTGATGTTTATTTAGTCTTTATCAACACCTGATTGTTATACACATGTATCCCATCACCTACATCTCTAGAGATCAAGCTTCTTGACAAAGCCCTGTCTCTTTGTGAGAGAGTAGAGTTGCAAGAAGCACCAAGTTCACAGGTTAAACTATCTCTGAAACTCATGACTCAAGTTCGTCTGTTGGAAAACAATGATCCAGTTGTATGGGAATAACTATATGTCGCCTGTGAAGCATGTGCTATTGAATTAGCCAAGAAAAGATCATCTCTTCCCCCTTTGATGACTTCTTATATATCCCGACAAGTGTCCTAAGTTTTCCAACAACGAGATCTTTTAAAGAAGAAAGATCTGGAGCTAGATGTTAAAATGGACCATCTGCGGACTAAGATCGATGAGATCATAGAAGAAGAAAAGAAGCTTCAAGCCTCTAATCTATGGAAGAACGAAAACTTCAAGATTGTAGAAAGAGAAGAAACAATTGAAGCGCCAGATTTCCGAGATGGCGTTGATGAAAAAATGCAATTTGATCGCCACGGTGAACAGATGGCGTTGATGAACAAATGCAAGATTCTTCTTTCTGAGGTTAAACGTAAAGCAATAGCTAAAAAGTCCCTTCGCTTGTAAATAGTACATTTTATTTGTCAAAAGCCTCTAACGATGGATGCTTCTATTGTAGATTTTTATATTATACTCCCATATGCTTGGGTTGTACCATTTTAAGAACTTTCCATTAAGCGCCCTTGAAAACATTTCCCCATCTAACTCTTCTAACAAGTAGGCGTTCCCTACCATGACTTTGTGAACTCTGAATAGACCCTCCCATTTAGAAGACCATTTTTCAAAGATATGATCTTTGTAGTCATGTTCAGGAAGCTTCATCTTCCACACCAAATCTCCTTCCAAAGAGATCTTATGTTTTACCTTTTTGTTGTAAGACTTTGCTACTTGTTTTTTCTGAGCTTCGATTTTAGCTAGCGCTTGGAGTCTTTCACCCTCAACGTCCATCAATTCAATGGACATCGATTACTGGTAGCCTTCTTGGCTTATCCCCATTTGCTTAGCTACCCTAGTGGACTTAGCACTTAGCTCTGCTAGTACAATAGGTTCAAGTCCATAAACTAATTGATAAGGAGTAGTCCCTATTGAATCTCTCTTTGATGTTCTATATGCCCAAGTAGCATAGTGTAAAAGAACATGCCAATTTTTAGGATTTTCATCCAGCATCTTAGCAATTCCTGGAGAGATTACTTTATTAGTAGCTTCGGCTTGTCCATTGGCCTGAGCAAAGTAAGGGGTTGATTAAATCTTTTGGATTTCAAATTCCTTGAGATAGGAATTGAACTCGTATCCTGTAAACATAGTTGCTTGGTCTATAGTTATAGATTCTGGAATCCCGTACCTTGTAAAGATTTTCTCTTCCAAGAACAAGATCACTGCCCTTGCATTTAAGTTTTGGAAAGCCTGGACTTCTATCCACTTTGTGAAGTAATCTGTAACTATTAGAATATATTCATGATGAGCAAATGAGGGAGGTTTACTAGGCACAATTGCATCCATCGCCCAACCTCTAAAAGGCCAAGGTTTAATAATGGGGTGCAACGTAACTCTATTGTCGGTGCCCTACTTATTGGTCTAAAGCGTTGACATTGTCTACAACCCTTTGCATACGGCAATCAATCTTGTCTAACTGAAGGCCAATAAAATCCCATGTGATGGATTAACAACCTCATCTTTGTTCCTGCTTTATGAGACCCACAAATTCCATGATAAACCTCTGCTAAATTGGTTAATACTTTCTTTGTGCTAATGCACCTTAGTAAAATGCCTTGAGGATCCTTTCTATACAGCTTACTTCCCATAAGAAAGTATTTAGTAGCTGCTAGCCTAACGTTTTCTAGCACCTTCCCTTTTTAGGGGTCTTTTAAGTACTCCTTAATCTCCTCTCTCCAATCTATGTCCTGGGTGAGGATACTATATTTATGTACTTCTGCCTTCACTTTTTCATCTAAAGGTTTCAATTTGTATGTATTTATGTGAATCATTGATTCATCGAAACCTTCAAAAATGGGTAGCGAAGCTTGTTGTGCCAAAAAGTCAGCCTCTCTATTTTTTTCTCTTGGGATATGAGATACTTAGATGAATTCAAAAGCATTAATTAACTCTTGAACGATATATGAGAAGGTCATTGCCAGAGTTGAGATTTCTTTGTATTCATTGTTTACTTGAGCTATCACCCACTGCAAATCGCCTAACACCTTAACCTTCGTAACCCCCATATCTTTCAGAGTCCTCAAACCAATCACTAAGGCTTCAAACTTTGCTCTGTTATTTGTGCATTGAGTTGAGAAAATGATTGTCATTTTAGTCACTACACCAGAAGGTGAATAAATCACAATTCCGGCTCCAGATGACTCCCTCCTACTAGATCCATCAAAGAACATTGTCCATGGTTTTTCCTCCTAGACCATAACATTCTCCATAGGTGGATGGTCGGCCAAAAAGTTAACCAAGGCCTGTCCCTTAACAGCTTTCTGAGGTACATAAGTCAGCAGTTCGAATTGTGATAATTGCATACTCCATTTACACAACCTTCCTTTGATGAAAGGGTTATTCAACAAGTATTTGAGCACATCTGTTGTGAAATAATCTCCAACGGGAAAGCCATAAAATAATGATTAAGTTTGATGGAAGTATCATACAAACTCAAACACCATTTTGCAGCATTGGTGTATCTAGTTTCAGTATCATGTAGAATTCTACTTTAATAAAAAAAATTACCTATTCATGACCTTGTTTTTTCTCTTGGGTTAACATTCTTGCAATTGAATCCTTGGTAACTGAAAGATACAATCTCAAACGCTTTCCATTTTGTTTAGGAGGAATTAGTGCTAGTGGAGTCGCCAGCTTCCCCTTGATTTGTTTAAAGGCATCTTGATGTTCGGGCTCCCACTTGAACTCTTCTCTTTGCTTAAGTTTAAGGAGAGGAGAAAACACTTTTGTTTTCCCAGCTAAGTTAGAGATAAACCTTCGAACATAAATAATCTGCCCCAAAAACTTCTATAGTTCCTTTTTATTGGTCAAAAGTGATGCTTCAAGAACTGCTTTAGCTTCTATGTCGTTCTTGTGCACCAGGAATCCCAAAAACTTACTGGCTTTAACCCCAAAGGCACGTTTAAGGGGGTTCATCTTTACATTGAACTTCCTCATCCTTTCAAATGCTAAAATGAGGTGTTCCAAATGCTTTGATAAGTCATGGGATTTTACCAAAACATCGTCTATGTAAACCTCCATAAAGTCGCCAATCATTTCATTAAATATGAGATTCATATCTCTCTGATACGTTTCCCCTGCACTCTTAAGTCCAAATTGCATCGCCACATACTCATAGAGCCCCAAAGAGCCTGGGCACCTAAACGTCATCTTTGAGCGATCACCTTCAGTGATCCTTATTTGGTGATACCCAGAAAAACCATTTAGCGCTGATACAAACTTGTGTCTTGACGAGGCATCTATCAACATATCTGCTACAGGCATGGGGTATTGATGTCTCTGTAATCTATGCATATCCTAATTTTGCCATTCTTCTTAATTACGGGAACAATATTAGCTATCCACTCTGCATATTTGATGGGTTGTATGAATCTTGCCTCCAATAGTTTGGCAATCTCTTCTTCTATTTTAGGAATCAATTATGGCGCTAAACATCTCGGATTCTAGACTATAGGATTGTAACTAGTTTTAATATGAAGTATATATTGGATAATAGAATTATCTAAATCAGGCATTTCATGATGCACCCATGCGAAACAATCCTTATTTTTGTGAAGTATATCAATCAATAATGACTTGTTGTAATACCCCGAATTTTTAAAACGTAATTAGTATTTTCTTAAAAGGGTATTTTAGCAATTTATTTTATTATTTGAATTTTGGAGCCAAAATGATATTTGAATTTTGGCGCCAAAACATTTTACAACTCAATTATTATTTTGGATTTTTAGATAAGATTTATTATCCATTTATTTTATTTTAAAAACCGGATTATTTATACATATTTGGATATTTTAATTAAGCAAAATTATATTTTATTATTTAAACGGCCAAAAATTTCTAATTGAGTAGCTTTGATTTTCGGATTTTCTAAGTGTAGAAAATCTGATTTTCTTAGTTAAATTATTTAGTGAATAATTGGTATTTTTCTAATTTATTATTTTCTACAAAATATATTATTTACACAATCATTTTTATTCTGTAAAAACTAGCAAAATAATTGCCTAAATATTTAAAGGGAGGTCCGGAAATATGAGCTTAGGAAAGCTCAAATTTTCGGCCACCATATTGTATTTTGACCAAAATTATTTTGGTAATTTTAGTATTTTAATTATCTTCCTCCATTCTATTATTTTCCTTAACTCTTATTTTCCATCTCCTAAATATTTGATCATCTTATTTCCCTACCTTAAACCATTCTTGATTATTCCCCAAGCAAAGCCATTTACCATTTTGTATTTCACGACTACATATTTACCTTATTTCTTCATTACTTAATCACCATAACCTAGACTTTCCATAATTCTTTAGCTCTCTTCTCCAGGTAATTTCCTTAAACCAATTTACCATAATTCTTCCTACATTCTCCTACCATAATTCTTGCATGAGCTAGCCTATAAATACCCCCTCATACCTCTCATATTCTTTACACCAAACACTCAATTCTCTCTTCTTCTCTCTTACTCTTCTTTTCCCTCAACCTTTTCCTACTTTTCTTCTCCTCTTTTCTAAAAGAAAATAAGCTTGTATATCTTTGGAGCCAATTTTCTGGCACTTATTTTCAGTTTTGAGGTTTTTCAATTTCACAAAAAATTGTTCATCTTGAAAAGTCCTTGAGTTTAGGCTCAAGAATCACCCAATTCGGAGTTATATTGAAGGAGTTATGGCCTCTTCAAGTTCTGCCTATTCTTTCCAATGCAAATCCAATTCTCTTTAATCCTATTCCTTTATTTTCTTCATGCTTAGTTTTCTAAAATATAAATACCTATTTCAAAGCTATAATTTGATAATAATGTATTATTTTTAAAAGAGTTTTATAGTCCGTGCACATTATATTTAGGTTTATGTCTAAAGATGATGTGATAACCTTATGGTTATGTTAATTGCAAGGTGTATTCGTGATTGAACTTTGAAAGTGCAAAGTGGTGATTGATATTCGGAACCAAGGTACGTTTAGGTGTCTAGATACCTTTGAAAGTGATTAGTTTGAATAACATATTTTATATGATTTTATTGGTGACTGAATTAAATTTATTTGAATTATGATTTATGAAATAAAGTATGTTTGGAGGTATTGATTTTAATATTAGTTTTAATAAATGTATTTTTGAAGGATTGATTTTCATATCATGTTTTGAATGGTTTGAATTACTTATCATGTTTAAATAAAGAAATTGATTTGAAAATTTTGATGAATTAAATAAAAGGTTTTTCAAAGGAAGAGTTATTGATTTTAAAAAGTTATTAATATGAGATTTAATTCTCAGCATTTATTAAAAGGTTGATTTTGAAAGCATGTTGAATCAAATAAAAAGGATTTTTGAGTTAATCTATTATAAAGGTTGATTTATTCAAAGAGGAATTTCATGAGAATTATTGAATTATTTATAAGAGCCTTACAAGCATGATTATTATATTAATCCCACTATGCGGATTCATTGAAGACTATGGACTTTGTATGACCTAGTCTTTCCTCAATAGCCTTGAAATAGTAGGATACTAGCTTGGGGGGTGTGCACACTTAAAGAGAAGATTGAGTTTTCGAAAAAAATTGATTTTACTAATCATTATTATTGAGTTATTGAGTTATTAGAATTGTTTTGAGAAGATTTGAGAATTGGTTTTCAAAAGAGGAATTGGTTTTATAAATCGTTTTATCGAGTTATTGGAATTGATTTTGAATCATGAGTTTTGGAGTTATTGGAATTGGTTTTAAAAGCATGTTTGCTAATAAATTGAATTTACTTATC